CAAGTAATAGAAGCCATCGTCTTCATTGCGAAGCATGATGGCGTAGTCCTCTGGGACGTTGTCGAACATGACTTTCAGGGGGGGAGTGGTCCTCAGATCTGTCGTGGTACCCAAGAGCCCGTTGCGGAAGAGCGCGAAATCCTCCGAGAGTGAGAAGTGCTGCGGGTACCGCTGGCAGAGAAACTGCAAGAGCATTTCCATCAACTCGCGAACGGCCAGATCGGCACCCGGTCCTTGGAAGAATATCAAGGAACTATGCTCCTTCAGGATTTTCTGCCGCTCTGCCATGGTTTCACGATAGTTCTTCTCGAGCTCTACCCACCAGTCCGGTTCGAACTTCATCAATGCTGAGGCCTTGGTCAGCATCTCCCCCAGAAACTCGCTCATCGTGAGGTGGCTCACCCATATGCTGGTGGTATCTCCATCGGAACGGGCGGTAGGGTCGGAACTTTGCCTTGGAGATGTCCCAGTCTGGCGCAACCGGAACTGGAGGGCGGACTCCGCTGAGCAGGGCGTAATCCGGAAATCGACCAAGCGCCCTGATCTCTTGCGTCGAAAATCCGGTCGGGGTATACTGGTTGTCCTTGCTGAAGTCGGCTGCCCTCGTCGTCGGCAAAGCCCGGGATTTCAGAGTCGTTGGCGGGATCTCGAGCAGCTGCGACGACTTCTCGAAGTTGGATAGACTTGCAAGAATGTGGCGTCGCGATGGCGGAAACTGGAGGGCGTAGGGTGTGGATTTCTCCTCTTTGGTTGCCCTCCCACGTCGCCGTGCGAGAAAAAGATGGACGGACAACAAAGAGCCTGCGGCAAGGATGCCAATGAACGCGAGAAGGGCTGGGCTCTTCAGTGCGAGAAGGACGTCAAGCTTGCCGACCCACAAATTCGAAGTCATGTTGATCCTCTCAACTCTCATGCCTTGTTTGGGTGCGAGACTATATCATGGGCGCCTCCAGAAACTCGAGGGCGGTTCCTGCGTTGCCTTTTACATTGCGCCACCGCGCTGATACGGAAGCATGGAAATGGCGACGATGCCGAGCCAGCAACCAAGATGCGGGGAACCTGCGCCAGCGATACACACCTCGCACTCGAGGACCTCGCATGTTGCAACGGAATATCGCATGACTGCATCAGGTCTATTCCTCTATTGGAGAAGTTGTCCCGGATCGAGGCCGTTGGTTTGACATGGTGCACCGCATTGACGACACCAACCCCCACCAGATAGGGTCTTGGGCGCAACACTCTCACACGCTCTGAGGGGTGCGAAGGGTGACGCATGTTCCCCGCACAAGCTGCTGATAAGCCAAGTATCAAGTGATACTTTTGGCTTTGATAGGTACTCACTTGACGACGGTTTGTCCTTATCGCTATCGCCCCCTTCCCCCCTTCTTTTCTCATTTCGCAAAACCACTGATAAGCAGATGGTCAGCCAAGCGACACCAGCCCGCCAAGGTGCCTTTACCACAACTGCAAGGATACCTCGGCTCGAGTAGGCGGCTGCAGCCGCTCCCCACAGATCGATCGATGCCACCACCACCCAGCTTTAGTTCCGAGCCGCAGGCACGTAGCAGATGCCATACAGATGCCATTTCGGGACAAGACAACGCCTCCTAGCTGTTCACATTCGGGGCCACCATTCACGACACACGGCATCGGAAACTCGGGAGTTGGTTGTGCCTGATCAGGTCTCAATGAAATTGCCGAGATATCCAGTGGATAGTGAGATGGACTGCCTCCCGGCGAGAAGAATGTACAAGCCAATATGTCCAAAATACCCCGTCATGCACCAAACCATTCACTGGCCCCCCGACATCCTCCGAGATCCTCCACGGCGCACGCCTTCGAATTAGGAGGCGATGATTCAAGCCTCATCGGCATCACCCTCAAACTTGCCCTTGCGGGCCTTTCCCTTGCCCTTGGCGGCCTTGCCCTTGCCCTTGGCAGCCTTGCCCTTGCCCTTAGCGGCCTTTCCCTTGCCCTTGGCGGCCTTTCCCTTGCCCTTCTTTCCCTTGGCGGCCTTGCCCTTCTTGCCCTTCTTTCCCTTGGCGGCCTTGCCCTTCTTGCCCTTCTTGCCCTTCTTGACCTTGTCGGCGTCAAGCTCCTCGCCGACGGCCTCGACGACCTCGGCCTCGGCGCGGGCCTCGATGATGGCCTCGACGGGCTCGGCCTCGGCGCGGACGACGAGAGAGTCACCCTCGGCGGCGGGGACGGCGAGCGCAGCGACGTAGGTGCTGGCGAAGAGGGCGGTGAGGAAGATCTTGGGAAGCATCTTGGCGGTTGTTGAGTGAGCGGGAAGCTGTGCTGGTGGTCTCGAAGAGAGCGATGGGGGGGATTGTCAACAAGAAGAGGCTTGAGGCTGTATCTTGGCTGGAGCACACCGAAACAAGAGGTTCCTGATCAAGAGCTGGATGTGGTAGATGGTATATATACACCGGGAAACGGATGTCGTGGCGTTCATGCGCCAGGTCTATTTTGACCTGTGTCGCGGCCCACGATCTCGGAAACGGCGCAAGGGAATTCGGTTTGTTGCGAGACGCGGGGCAACAGCGGTGGATTGATGAGGAGGCAATCTGGAAGAAGTCCCCCTCGGGTGAAGCAACTCTGGGCACTTCCGCTGACAATCTACCCACCACGGGCCACCCTTCTAGAAATCACGCCAAAGACTGGTCAACGCGTAATACCAATCACCCAATTCTGTCCCAGCTCTGCAGCTCTGGCCTCTGGCGCATGCTCTCGGGCCCGGTGCCGGCCGGCCCCATGTTAGGCGGTATATATCACCAGATTGTATAGTGGAACGATGACGCGGCGCTCTTGGTATTCTTATCTGACAACGGTTTGTTGGTGTCTAGCGAGGTGATGCCATCGTGAGCTCACATGGCGGCGGCAGCACGAGAGTCCACCCCCTTGCTCTTGCGGGCGTGCATCAGCCGCAAAAAAGGGGGGGGGGGAAAAGGGGGCGGCGGTCACACGGCACGTGCTTGGGTGGCATTCGGAAATCGCGTAGAGTTTCTACGTATTGGGACAACCCGAGACGCTTGATCTTGGCTTCAAGCATCATGATGCTCCAACGACGAAATCGCAGGACTGACGGAATCTGTGGTGGCCGGTGCGAGCGAGGGCATCGCGTGAGCGGCTCCGACTTCACCGAGCAGCAATATAACCACCTGCGTGGGATGAGTCGAAAACCAGGAGGCTGGAATTTTCGGGGAAGCATATGGGTTTGGGAACGGCGGACTGCATAGCAACCGACCGAGCTACTCTGCGGACAGTAGTACCTGGGCAACATTTGACGGGTGCCCTGATGCGGTCACGGCTGAACACGAGGGTTTGTGCCTTGCTGATGATGTCCGGTAAAATGAGGTGCCTAATAGGCATTGCTTGTTTACCCCAACGAATCCAGGGCCGGAGCATGATCGACACCCCCCGCCAAGCGTTGATCATAGCGCTGATGTTATACGCAGGTTACGCAAGCGTTAGCGGGACCAAACGAAAGGAAGTCTTGTCCCGGTGGAGGGTCGGTCGGTGGTTGTAGTTGTTGTAAGCTCGCGATAGTAGCAGGAGGAGTCGCGCTGGCTTGGCAGATCTGCAGGTCGCCCGTTGTTGCCACCAACAAACCAACCGGAGTTTTAGACCAATATCGCTTGCTCTTTGACAGCTGCACGTTGGGGATCTCGTCGCAACACACGGCAAAGGCGGACGGCTGTCCAATGGATGTCAAGTGTATAAACCCAAAGCTTGCCACCGGACGCCCCGCTGTATTATTCCTAAGCACCACATATTACTGCACCACCATGGCCGCCCGGCAGGTACTTGGGAGGTAGTTATAGCGCCGTAGGTCCGACCCCGCGCCTGGGACACTCACGATCCGGGTACCCGTCGAGCCTCACGCAAATTGGGCGGCCAATCGCCTGCCCAGATGCATCTGCCGTTACGTAAAAGGAATACCCCAGACAAGACTCCGTTAGTGCCTCCCACACCTCGCCTGTCGCCAGCAGGCCTGAGTGCCTTTCTTGTTGTGTGTTTATCTTGGCATAAAGGGCCAAATATACTTGGCATAACGAGGGATAGTTGCCCCCCCCCCCTATCTACCATCCGACTCCTACGGGACAACCGCGCAGAACCGCGCAGCGCCTAAAGCGCGGAGGCTGAATGCCGCCATGGCCGGCGGTGCCTACCCACGCCCATCCCGGAATCCCAGCACCTCTCGATTACTGACTCGCCCGACGCCGACCGGGAAGCGTTGGCTGAGACAGCCGCTGCCCAGCAAAGGCCCAGACGGGACGAGAGAAGCTTGAGATGAGTCCACGACGCCTTGTTTACGTATGTCACTATACAGGAAACCCTTGGTAAGACGGGACTTCGGCAGTGCGAAGCGGTGGGTAACCCGGCAGCTATCCCCAGCTTTGTGTTTGGCCCGGTTTGTGCCCCGCCACAACATCCAACAAGCTTCCCACTGGAACGCTTGTCGGTGTTATTTGGCCTTCTTAACCCTCTTGGGCTCTTGGGAGCTTGTCCTTCTCTCCGTTCCAAGGTGCATCCGGCGGCCGTGGCGAGCGGTCTTCCGAACCTGGGTCCACTTACACGTTATGAGATAAGAAAGGCTAACAAAATACAGATTGGACTGGATGCCATGTTGTTTCGCGATGCACCGCCGCAAGCTACTACTACTACTACTACCACTACTGCTACTACACTATCCAACCCCTGAATCTCAGTGTAGCATCCCGATCGGCTTGGAACGTTGCATTTCCAAGCCAAAACTTCCCGATGGAGGGCACCTCACTCGCTTCTCCATGCGAAAAGGCCCCACTGGGTTGGGTTGTCAACAGGGATGACGGGCTGAGAGGGATTGGTTGGCAACAACGTTAATCGTTGAGTGCGCATGCTGCTTTGAGCAATGCGCGATTGTGTAAACAGGCGAACAGGATGTTTGTGTGTTGCTGTTGAGACAATCGCATTATGAAATGCAAAAAGGGAACAATCTCTCACTGAGAGATGGGTGCCGATCCACCCAGGGGTCGAGCCTGAAACCTCCTGATAACTTTTAGTCAGACGCTCTGCCATTGAGCCAGCGGACCTGCTGTCATCTTGGGATGATTGGTGGAAGGAGGGGCGACAAGCTCCTCATGAGTCGTGTTTGTGGCATGGAATGTGTGTTGGTGGAGACAGAATCCGCATGGATGGTTTGAGTCAGGGGCGTCCCATGTGCGGTTGTGGATCACATAGTCTTCTGTCGTTGACTCTGATCGCGAAGGAAACACCAGGGCTGGAAGATCAGCCGACGGGATCCCGGTGCCGGGAAAGGAGATGAGTAACATTTTGGGATGCGAGCAAATAACAATTGGAAGAGACAACCCACGCCAGAAAAGGCCCCCAAACTGCAGTGTCTTGGACACACGTCAGCTCAGACATTGCAGGGTGGAAACACAAGGTATACAAACCAACAGAAAGCATCGCTCTGGCCTTTGAGCCGCGGCTATCAGTCACGGTCGGGACGACTAAATAAAGACGCGAGTTTCTCCTGGTCGGATGTGCATTGCCGATTGCTGTCTTCACGCACAAAGAGATCTTTGAGATGCATTCTGAAGTAATTAGCAATGCACAAATGTATTGTCTTCCCCCGAATCTAACTCCCTCCCCAACGCCAAGCCAACAAGAATCGCTCATTCTCAGACAAAGAGAGGGAAGTCAACTTCACGAGGTTAGCTTCACGCTTGCTCATGTACCTGTAGTCTCGCTATTTCTGGAAGCATCGCGCATACACAGTTACCAAAACGCCAATGACGGTAGCAACGCCCGCAACAATGGGTCTCTTCACTTGGCCTGAGATCCAGAGTGGAAATACTCACTTCTTCAAGGTCTTGTGGTCTCTGGCACCGATCTTGGGTGTCCTATTGTCAGATCTTGCTGCTAGCACAACATCATATATAACTGCAACATCTCACTTCGTATCTCTATCCAAATAGGCATGGCAGCACAAGTACGCCTTGCCATGGAAGCCCAAGGGGCCGAAACAGATCAAAAACGAGGTGAGTGACCGAGAAACGCACTTTTAATCCATGTTTGTTCCCACGTCATGCCTTGGTGCTGAGGTTTGGGCTGGCTTGAGTGGGGAGCACTTAATTGGGACAGATCCACCAGAAGTTCTCAAGTCCCAAAGAACATCTGGGGTGCAAAAGTTTCTGTCTGCCTGAATTTCCCATCATCTCTCACATGATACTGGGCCGCACATCATATGAGGGCCACATGCTTTCATATCAACACTGGACGGAACTGACAAAGCAAGAAGGCAGAAAAGAGAAATTTGCCTGAGAGCTGCTTTCCTGGTGCGGCTGCAACACGAGAGACTGCCACCTTACAATTCCTCCGGCAACAAGATAGGCCAACCGGCATCAGATGAAAACAACACTACCTTTCATCTGAACCCCGGGCAGACTCCACAAAGCAGAGAGGCACGAACAAAAATGGCTGGCCAGAAAATATTATTCTGGCGCGACTGGGAAATGAGAAATTGTCACCTTGCAATCACAATCAAAGCAGCAAACGAAACCTTTGCGAAAGAAAGTCCAAGCCACCACGACTTCACAATGGCGTAAGTTGAGAACATCAAGAGTTGCTGGGCCAGAGGGAATATACTGACAAATGACCCCGAACAGCATATTTGATTACGCCACACGTAAGACTCCCTCCCACCTTCCTGCCCCTCCAAACATCCTGGCTGCGTGCCTCGAAACCGCCACTCCGAAGCCTGCTTTCCGATTCGCACACTCTGTTCCCCTCCAAGGATCATGGCCGCACTGCTCAAAATCGCCACTCCAACGCCTACTTGCCAATTCCTATTATCCTGCGTCCCCTTCCAATGTCACTTTATCCGGCAATGCTGCTGTATTTCCACGAAATAAATGCTAACAAGTGTTTCTTTCAGAATACGTCGATTTTATCGACTTACAAACTCAGGTCGCCCACCTGTTAGACAGCCTTGTCCAAAACGGCTACAAGCATGGAGCTATGTATACGGAGGCAAAAGAGTGCGCCCTCATCGCCTCCCTCGAGCTGATGGGAGGGGACAAGCATATGTTTTTCCTTACGATCTTGCGTGAGCTGCGTGCCCGAGGTATGGTGACCCCGTCTATGACAAACGCAAGCCAATATCTCATGCTAACCTGCGGCACCTAGTCGCTAGATATACGACTGCTCACTGAGGAGGAGAACGCAAGGCAATATCTTAGACCAGCCTGCGGTAGTCGACCAGCGTCAACTGAGGAGGAGGGAGTCAGCTTCATCAAATAAATTGGAACGTTCTACATTGATTTTCGTCTTCTGGCAGGTGATCATGACCTTAAGGCGCACCGCCCGCAGCGCGACATTGACACCAGCTTGAAGCCCAAGGCCCCGGAGATCCAGTCGTATCCCCACTGACCTCGAAGCCGGTTCCATGCCGATTTGCGGAACTTGGGCACGCTTTTGAAATTCACTTCACTTGCAAAACTTATTGATGGTGTGGGCAAGTCCGGGCAACTCAAGAGGCCATCCCCCTTTGGCATGACCAAAGCATCTCTTCACTTGGAGTTGGAGTGATGTGTGCTGTTGGTGATTTGGAGTATGGGAGCTGACAAGCTTTTTTCCTCTTTGAACATGTTGAATTTATTGACCTTGCCACCCAAATTCGATATTTGATCGACCACCTCATCGACGCCGGACACACACACGGCAGCTTGGACATAACATCCCCGTGCAAGATGAACCGGAATATCTGGCACCCTTATCTCTAAAAACTCGTTGGGGTTGCACAAAAGGGCTACCTCCACTAATCACAATTCCGAGTCACCACCCTTGTATCTCCGCAACGCCATTCAGCCGATTCTCAACTAAGAAAAGAGTCAGCTTCCTGGAACGTCAGATAGGCAAGGCATAAGGGGTGAGGAAGGAACAGGGTATAGGAATTAAAAACGTTTTCGTGGGGATTTGAGTTTTTGCTTTTATCGATATCTACTTGATGATTATGCTTCTGTTGTGGCTGAACAGCTATGGGATCAGCACAGCCAAGCTCTAGACCTGAGCTTTTGCCCTTTAGTCTGAAGGTATGTTGACTTTGTCGACCTCTCAGTCCAAATCTCCCATCCCGTCAATCACCTGGTCCGGAACGGTCATAGCTACGGAGCGATGTATACAGAGGCTAAAGAGTCCGCCGCCGGCGCAGCCCTGAGACTCATGGGAGGTGACCGCCACATGTTCTTCTTGACCGTCCTCCGGGAGTTGAGAGCAAGAGGTAGGGCAAACCATCTGTGACAAACACTTGCCCATACCTGAGACTGGCCTGGGGTAGTTGTTAGATATACGACTATGCACTGAAGAGAAGACTGCGCTTATAAATAATATTGGAACGTTTTACCTGGATTTAAGTTTTCGTTTTTACTGGGTTGTGGTGACTGTACTTCTGTTGTCGCTCAACAACCACAGGGTCAGCACAGCCAAACTCGGCCTTGAGTCTCGGTGTGGAGTTGTCAAGCCCCTTTAAGTCACATACCTGATCAACAACCTCGTGGAAAACGGAAACGCTTACGGCACCATGCTTATGGAGGCCAGAGTGGCGGCAGCCCGCGCCGCTCTGGTCCTCCCGGGCGGAATCAAACATGAGTTCTTCCTGGAGATCCTCCGTAATCTGGAGGCTAGGGGTAGGGAATCCATGACAAACACCTAGAGGTATCCATGCAAAAGGCTAACCTATAAGGACTGCGCTGCCCAGTACATCAGTGCCAACTGAGGAGGAGACGGCGGCAGCGCGCAAGGAACCATGTTTGATGTGGAGGCCAGAGCGGCCGCAGCTCACACCGCTCCGGTCCGCCCGGGGCAGTAGAACATGAGTTCTTTTTGATATACGGGGGCTTCTGGGTAGCGCTGGGTTAGGCGGGAACAACGGGGGCTTTTCCATCAAAGGTTAGTGAAATGGTGGCGAGGGGGAGAATAGAGTTATGACATTGCAAGGAGAACTCAACCTCACAAAGCCACTTGTTCTTCCCTGATCCACTCACCGGGCAAGGGCCAAGTGGCGGACCACTACATTAAAAATTGCTTACCGGGAGATAAGAAGCTCAGGGAAGCATGCTCTGTCAAGCTGGGAAATATGTGGTGGAAGTAGGCAAGTTGGGAGACGTTTGAGCGCGCTCTCTCGTTGCTTGCTGTAATAGGTTAGACATATCAATGACAAAAGTCAAATCTCAACTCAAGGGCCAGAGGGATCTTGTGCCTTCAGTATTGTGTGAATTGTGAAGCGGCATGGCTCTTTCGTGGCTGGTAGTCGGTGTATCGAAGCGAAAGAGTCAACCAGTGGCATCACATGTTCTGATGGACATTTGCGTATGATGAAGGGATGCTCGGCATCTCCCGCCCAACCCCGGACAAGGAGTTCGGGCTCGGGTCTCGGCATGGGTTGCTAAGCTCCGACCCGGGACCCATATGGTGAAATCCGGGGCATGTGGACCACCAAGTTGCGCCGACTTCCCACTTGTCCGAGACATAAATCACCGGGAATCCTTGCGATGTATCCCTCCACCAACAGTAGCCTTGAACAACGGGCGCATTTCCGTCACAATCTCTGGCTCAATGTCTCGAGAACTAGCTTCTCCTCAAACGTAAGGTACATGCTGCTCGGTATTTGGACGTGCCCCTTCGTCACAACAAGCTTATCCCCGTCTGTAAACTCCACCGTCGGCTGCGGCTCGGGCGCCTCCTCCACATCTCCCGAACTCGTCCTGTCGCCCCTCACCGAGATCGTGTCCTCGCTGCTCGCCGCGCCCTCCGTCCCTTTTTGCTTCTCCTCCTCCTTTGCCGTCGTCTTCTTCCATCGCGTGCCCATCTCCTCAGGAGACCACCAGTAGTACGGGAACCGTCTCTGGATATTGTTGACCAGCAACGCCATGGCCAGCATCAACCCGCACCCCAGCATCACCGGCGCGAGGAGAAACCACCCCAGGTTCGCAACGCTGTCGTCCAACACGGCCATCAGCGCCGTAGCCCCCGCCGGCGGATGCACCGTCCCCGTCAACCCCATGACCGCCGTCGCCGCGGCACAGGCCAG